TGTTTATTGCCTGGTATCCACACCAGCAACACAGTTTTGCTTGGAAACACCATTCTGGCGATGCAGCTAAAGTGAGACCTTAGTCTCAGTCCTGAGTGGGGCAGATCATTTCATCTCCTTAGCCACAGGATTGATCCACACATGAGCACATGACTCATTTGGGGCCAGTAAGAAAGAGTAAATGGCAGGACTTGTTGCAAGCAATGGTAAGACTCTTCCATTGAATTCGGTAGTGTGAGGATATGAAGATGCAGCCATCTTGCTACCACAAGGAGAGCCAGCCTGAAGGTAAAACAGCAAAGAATAAGTAAATCCAAGAAATAAACACCAGAGACATGTTTCGGTGCCTAAGTAAATTGGATAGAAATAATCAGAACGCTCAATATCTTTAAATGTATTGGTGGAGAGGGGGTGGTAACAATTGGAAGAGACTTTGAGGCTGATTTGCGATATATTAGAAAACTAAGCAAATGAAAAAGTAGTTATTACTAGATTATTGTGGGTTGAGTTGTATTTCCTGAAGAGACATTTTGAAGTCCTGACCACCTTCTCTACCACCACCACCACCACCACCCCCCTCAAAACTGTGAATGTGATCTTAAATATAGTAGGGTCTTTGCAGATGGAATCAAGTTGAGATGCTGCTGGATTAGGGTGCCTCCTAACTGCACCCTAATGCTTGTAAGGATACCAAGGAGAGAGAGATCCTTACAAGGAGAGAGAGTCTTGGAGACACAAAGACATAGGGGAGAAGGCCAAAGAAAGATAAAGGCAGAGATGGGAGCTCCGCTGCCACAAGCCAAAGGCGGCCAGGATTGTTGGCAACCACCAGAAGCTGGAAGACGAAAGGAAGGATTCTTCTCTTCATCAAGGGGCACGGTCAGGCCAACACCTTGATTTCAGATTTCTAATCTACAGGACCAAGAATAAATGTCTTTATTTGTTTACCCAGTTTGTGGTAATTTGTTATGGCATCCCAAGAAACTAATTAATTATTAACTTCAAGGAAAAGCAAAAAGTTGTGCAAGAAAGCAAACGTAACTGGTGTAACATTTGGGGGTCAGATTTCAGTAGCATTTATATAGGCAAAATAATGTTTTAAAAATAATACAATTATTTTTTTTTTTTTCTCACTCTGTCATCCAGGCTGGAGTGCAGTGGTGTGAACTTGGCTCACTGCAACCTCCACCTCCTGGGTTCAAGCAATTATCATGCCTCAGCCTCCTGAGTAGCTGGGATTACAGGTACCCACCACCACACCAGACTAATTTTTGTATTTTTAGTGAGACGGGGTTTCACCATGTTGGCCAGACAGGTCTTGAATTTCTGACCTTAAGTGATCCACCCTCCTTGGACTCCAAATGTGCTGGGATTACAGGTGTGAGCCACCATGCCCGGCTGAGAAATTTTTTTTTTCTTTTTTTCTTTTTTTTTTTGAGACAGAGTCTCACTCTGCAGCCCAGGCTGGAGTGCAGTGGCGCGATCTCGACTCACTGCAAGCTCCACCTCCCAGGTTCCCGCCATTCTCCTGCCTCAGCCTCCTGAGTAGCTGGGACTACAGGCACCGACCACCACGCCAGGATATTTTTTTTGTATTTTTAGTAAAGACGCAGTTTCACCGTGTTAGCCAGGATGGTCTCGATCTCCCGACCTTGTGATCCGCCTGCCTTTGCCTCCCAAAGTGCTGGGATTACAGGTGTGAGCCACCGCGCCCAGCTGAGAAATTTTTTAGAAAACCATGGTATCACATTGTGAAGAAAGGGAGAGGAGACTGGCAACATATTGGTCTACTGGATACAAGAGAATTATTCTTACTTCCAGTCATAGAAATTCTACAGATAATGCTTAATGTTTGAAAATGAAGTATTATTATAAGCTTAGTATACAGAGATATGGAAATGAATGGCAAAAGACACAGCTAAAAGTTGAAGGTGGTCCCCTCTGAAGAATGAGACATGAGAAATTGGATGTTGAGTGCTAGAAAATACTGCTTTTTCATAATAAATTTTGTAGAACTGTTTGCCCTATTAAACTATGTATGTATCAACTTTGACAAAAAATAAAGGCAAAACTTAAGGTAAAATAAGCAAAAATGAATAATTTACAAAGGAAGAAACAAAGGAACACATGCCCAACATCAGTTAGCTATGAGATCAATTTAAAATAAACAAAAATACGTTTTATAATATTAAATATCAAATATGCAATCAAGAGGTAGGAGTATAAATAAGTAAAATGAGTTTGTAGAAATACTGAAAATCTGCATACACTAAAACCCAGCTCATCCACTTCTAGGTTGACACTCAGGAAACTTTTGTACATCAGGAGAAACTATATATAAGAAAGTTAATCATGGCTCAGCGCAGTGGCTCATGCCTGTAATCCCAGCACTTTGGGAGGACGAGGCTGTCAGATCACCTGAGGTCAGGAGTTCGAGACCAGCCTGACCAACATGGTGAAACCCCATTTCTACTAAAAATACAAAAATTAGCAGGGCATGGTAGTGCATGCCTGTAATCCCAGTTACTCGGGAGGCTAAGGTAGGAGAATCGCTTGAATCTGGAAGGTGGAGGTTGCAATGAGTTGAGATCATGCCACTGTACTCCAGCCTGGGCAACAGAGCGAGACTCCATCTCAAAAAAAAAAAAAAAAAAAAAAAAAGGCCGGGCGTGGTGGCTCAAGCCTGTAATCCCAGCACTTAGGGAGGCCAAGGCAGGCGGATCACGAGGTCAGGAGATCGAGACCATCCTGGCTAACATGGTGAAACCCCGTCTCTACTAAAAATACAAGAAAATTAGCCGGGTGTGGTGGCGGGCGCCTGTAGTCCCAGCTACTCAGGAGGCTGAGGCAGGAGAATGGCGTGAACCCGGGAGGCGGAGCTTGCAGTGAGCCGAGATCGCCACTGCACTCCAGCTTAGGGCACAGAGCGAGACCCCGTCTCAAAAAAAAAAAAAAAGAAAAGAAAAAGAAAGTTAATCACCACGTTGTTCATAATAGTGAAAACTTGAAAAGAAGAAAATCTTTACCAGTAGACATTTATCCAACCCAGAAAAAAGATACTTTAGGCACAGTGGCTCATGTCTGTAATCCTAGCATTTTGGGAGGCTTAGGCTGGAGGACTGCTTGAGCTCAGGAGTTTGAGAACCGCTTAGGAAACGCGGTGAGACCCCCATCTCTAAAAAAAAAAAAAAAAAATTAAACATTAGCTGGGAGTTACTAGGGAGGCTGAGGTACGAGATTAGCTTGAATCCGGAGGCAGAGGTTGCAGTGAGCCAAGATCACGCCAATGCACTCCAGCCTCGGTGACAGAGCGAGACTCCATCTCAAAAAATAAATAAAATAAAATAAGCTGGGAGTGGTGGCATGCGCCTATGGTTCCAGCTACTCAGGAGGCTGAGGCAGGAGGATTGTTTGAACCCAGGAGATCAAGTACAACTCTATCTCTCTCTCTTTCTCGCTCTCTTTCTTTCTATATATATATATTTCATATTTTTATATAATAAAATTCTATATGGCAGTTAAGAGGAGTAACCTAACTTTATATATCAAAACATAAATCTCATATGTTGACTGAAAAAGAAATTTGAAAAACATGTCCAACCTAGTACCAGTTATGTAAATTTTAAAACACACCACATGTTGCTTATAAAGATATGAATGTTTATAAACGTATAAATGCAAGACCCGTGTTTTTACGTGGGTTAGATGGACATACACTAAATCCATAAGAGCCTTGGAAAGAAGGTTACACAATTAAACTGAAGGTAAGTAGAGAAAGAACATCCATCTCATTTGTAATATTTTAGTTCTTGTATGTAAAAAATATTTTAAGGAAACATGAGAAAATACTGTCATTTCTGGGTTTAAAACTTGGGGTTTTTAAATTTGTAACCCAGCCACGTGTGTTACGGGCTCACACCTGTAATCCCAGCACTTTGGGAGCCTGAAGCGGGTGGATCACCTGAGGTCAGCAGTTTGAGACCAGCCTGGCCAACATGGGGAAAATCCGTCTCTACTGAAAATACAGATTAGGCGGCCGTGGCGGCAGGAGCCTGTAATCCCATCTATTCCGGAGGCTGAGGCAGGAGAATCACTTGAACCTGGGAGGCAGAGGTTGCACTTAGCCTAGATAGCGCCACTGCCCTCCAGCCTGGGGGATACAGTGAGACTCTGTCTCCAAACAAACAAACAAACAAACAAAAGAAATAAAATAAAATCTGTAAGTCAAATACTTTTCTGTATTTTTATTTTTCAAATTTAAAAAAAGAGCTGTAAAAATGTTTCGTTGGGAAACAAATTTCAGAAATCGACTCAAAAAGAATGCAAGTACTTGAACAGTCTAACAACTTATAAATGTTCCAAAACATCAAAGATCCATCTACTCAAAAAGGCACCAAGCCCAGCCAGTTTTAAGGTTTTCTACCTAATGTTCCAGAAACAGTGTCCTAACTCATACAATGAGGGTAGCGTAATCTTGGTAAAAAACAGAGCCAGATTATTAGCCCCTCAAATTCAGCAGTGTATTAAACCGCATCATCTTGCTTAAGGTTTATAAAAAGAGTGCATTCATGATTCATCAGGAAAGCAATTTATAAAGTACAGTAAAAAAAAATCAAACGAGAAAAGTCTTCATCTTTATAGCGTAAAGCTTAAAGTTCAGCTGACAAAAAAATAGTAAAATTTATTATGTATTTTTTTTCAAATCCTTGCAAACTAAGAGTAAAACAATTTCTAAGTATTAGTAGAATGAAGAACATTTACCTTAGTCAAAAACTCAGAATGCCCACTATCAGGTTCTAGTTAACAGAATAAAATTTAAATGTTCCAAAGGAGAAAGTAAATGTCAATAGTCACGGATTATACAACTGCCTACTTAGAAATTTCAAGGAGGTCCCCAGACAAATTTAGATATAAAACCGAACACTCGGGTCGCCCGGAACTCCAGCCCCACTCCCAGACCGGCGCTTGAGGGGATGCGCATGCGCGCGCCCTGCGCAGGCGCGCAGAACGCAGTGAAGGACTATGGCGAGCCAGCGCTTCCCTACGCCGTTCCACGGGCACGTGGGCCGCGGCGCCTTCAGCGACGTGTACGAGCCCGCGGAGGACACGTTTCTGCTTCTGGACGCGCTCGAGGCAGCAGCTGCCGAGCTGGCGGGGTGCGAGGAGGGGAGGGGCTCTGACGGGAAAGGGCTGAGGCGTTCTGAAGAAGTGCAGTGGCGGAGGGCCTGAGCCGGAGGAGGCGGGGTCCACTTGCAGATGATTGACAGCCAGGACGCCGTAATTGAGAATTTTCCTGTACTTACAAGTAATGAGTGTGCCGGGGACACATCTCCTTTGCCAGGGGCTGCTCTGTCTCATGAGCTCCCTGACTGCTTATCATGCAAAGGCGTCTCTTTTCCTGTCACCTGTTAATCTGAAGAACACATGTCCCTGAGAGATGCGATAGTATAACACGTTTGGAAACAAAATATTCCGGAAACGTTGATTATTAATTTTTAAAGTATTAAATATTAAAATTGCGTGGTATTATTTGGTTTACTCAGCACATAGCACCCTTAACAAACATGAAAGAAAGTTGTGTTACTGGGGGGGGAAATATTTTTAAACCCACTGGATAGCACACTCTAGCACCAGCCAGTCCTCACTTGTGGCTACAGAGCACTTGAAATGTGGCTAGTGCTACTGAGGAACTGAATTTTTCATTTAATTGTTACAAAATAGAAAGTTACATCCAGCTCGCAGACAATAGTCTACCCTAGCACTTTATTTAAATGGATTTGTTGAAGTGATCGCCATCAATTTTAAATTAATAGCAGAAAGAATGAATACTGACATTGTGATTTTTAAATGTAAGGAATTTGTGTTGTTAGATTTGTTTGAAGATGAGGTGAACTGGGTTTTCTCAGGATGGAACAAACAGCTGTCAGATTTCAAAGATCTATATTGTATTTATTTATCCCTCTTAAACTTGGTCATATTTTTCCACGTATAAAATGCCCCAGCTCTTATTAAACTAGTCTTTCATTGTAGATGATAGAACTTTTGGATTTACTGGAGTATAGAGTGGAACAGTACTGTTTTATAACTTGTCTTTTCTCAAGATAGCCCAGAAAGATTTACAAGCACAAATTGCACTGCAAAGTATGCTGTAAAAGGAGCTGATTTTGTTATAAAGTCTTGGGTTATTTCTAGTTTGGAATTCTAATTATTTATGAGACCGTGATAGTTATTTTCAAAGAGAAGCCACCTGGTGAGATTCACAGACCTTACTACCACCTAATAAAGACTTGTCAGATGTGTAGACTGGTTCCAAAAGTTTAAAACCTCTGGAGCTTGTCACTGGGTAGTTGTTTTGGGAGTTTAGTGCTAAAAATTTCCCTAAATGCCATCAAGCTGATCTTTGTGATAGGGATAATTTATGCTTTTAATGCATGTGTAACATTATAGAGGCCTGGCACTGTGGTTTATTACTGTAGTCCTAACTACTTGGGAGGCTGAGGCGGGAGATCACTTGAGCCCAGGAGTTAAAGGCTGCGGTGCGCTATGGTGGCACCACTGCACTCTAGCTTAGGTGACAGAGCAAGAGCATGGATCTAAAAAAGAACTTCCAAGATTATAGGCAAGAAAATAAATTTAATGGAAAGATAAAGTACGGTAGAATGAAGATTTTAATAGTTAACAGCATTCTCGGATGGCTAACATTAGAAGATCAGATACTATTATCTGAATTAGCTTATAGCTGTACAGAAAAGGAATTTTTGTCCTGCTCTATTACTGGGGGACCTTTTAATTCTCTAGGATATACTGATGGCTCTATGAATGTTAGGTGTTAAAAATGATAGAGAAACCTTTTATCAAAAATAAGTTTAGTAATAATACAAACCTTATCATTTTAGGAAATACTAAGCTAGGAGCTCCTTGTGCAAAGGAATGGTATCTTTCACATTAAGATTTCCAACCCTGGATTAACGTTTTTCCATACTTTTTAATGTAATGGTTTGTCGAAATTAACTGAAAGCCATGTTTGGTAATATATAACTTTTGTGGACTTAAAATATATTACATACCCAAAATATTAGTAATTTTGAGTTGTGTAGTATTAAGTATGAAGTAGTTGTCAGAAATTACAAATTTCTATTTCCATATATTTGCAGGTTAGTGATGATGCTAGAGAAATATACGTGCTAGAAATAAAGCTAGCATGAGAGTTTTCTGTGAAAAGTATTTTGATTCTACTGTACTAATATTTATTTTGTTTTTTTTTAGAGTGGAAATATGCCTAGAAGTAGGGGCAGGGTCTGGTGTAGTATCTGCATTCCTAGCCTCTATGATAGGTCCTCAGGCTTTGTACATGTAAGTATATCATATTCATCTAGATCTTCCACTGACAGGTTAACCATGATAACTCTAATGAAATAATTTTTAAATAGACAGTATGTATCTTATAGTATTTAAGCATAGCAAAAACTCAGATTACAAACTATGCTTCCCTAAAAATTATTCATGTTCAAACTGCTCCATCATACTGCATAATTGTAGAAGCAGCATAATTTTAGATCGTCTCTAAATTTGATTTATTTCTTAGGTAAATAATTTGATATAAGAAATTTAAAGTTGCTTAAGTTTATAGAAAATTGGAGAATATAGAAAAGTATAAAGAAGAAAATTAAAATCACCTATAAATTTTACCATACATGGTCCAACTGAGTTTCCTTCTGTTTTTTTTTTTTTTCATTTCCTGTGTGTGTGTGTTTTTTTTTTTTTTTTTTTTTTGAGACAAAGTCTCGCTCTGTCGCCCAGCATGGAGTGCAGTGGCGTGATCTTGGCTCACTGCAACCTCGGCCTCCTGGGTTCTTGCCATTCTCCTGCCTCAGCCTCCTGAGTAGCTGGGACTACAGGCACCTGCCACCATGCCCAGCTAATTTTTTTTTTGTATTTTTAGTAGAGATGGGGTTTCACCATGTTAGGCAGGATGGTCTCGATCTCCTGACCTGGTGATCCGCCTGCCTCGGCCTCCCAAAGTGCTGGGATTACAGGCGTGAACCACCGTGCCTGGCCCATTTCCTGTGTTTTTAATTTAATTTTGTCTCATAAACATTTTCTTTTTTTTTTTTTTTTTTTTTTTTTGAGACGGAGTCTCGCTATGTCGCCCAGGGTGGAGTGCAGTGGCCGGATCTCAGCTCACTGCAAGCTCCGCCTCCCGGGTTTTTACGCCATTCTCCTGCCTCAGCCTCCCGAGTAGCCGGGACTACAGGCGCCCACCACCTCGCCCGGCTAGTTTTTTGTATTTTTTAGTAGAGACGGGGTTTCACCGTGTTAGCCAGGATGGTCTCGAACTCCTGACCTCGTGATCCGCCCGTCTCGGCCTCCCAAAGTGCTGGGATTACAGGCTTGAGCCACCGCGCCCGGCCTCATAAACATTTTCCTATCAAAAATTCCCTTTAAATTTCATTTTTGGTGGCTGCATAGTACTCCTTCGTTGGATGTATCATAATTTCATAAATTCCTTCAGATGTGTGTGCATGTATGTGTATTCTACTCTTGGACATTGTATCAATATAACAGTCTTTTTCATCAGTAGAACAAATCCTTGTTCTCTTCTTATTTGCCGTTATTGAATACATTCTAATTTTTTTTTCTGAATCTGTTCTGTGTAGAATTAATGGAACAGTCCTTGAAATTACTCAGAAACAGATTTGCCTTATGGACATAGGATAGTTTCCTTCCGTTTCTGTTTATAGGTGCACTGATATCAACCCTGAGGCAGCAGCTTGTACCCTAGAGACAGCACGCTGTAACAAAGTCCACGTTCAACCAGTTATTACAGATTTGGTAAGCTAATCTTTGTCCAATAATAATTTTCTTTTCAAATAAGGTTAAGATGTTTTAGGTCAAAGAAACTTTGGTAAGTAATTGACTTTTGACCCACTAAGCAGTATACCCTATACAAAGTAAATTCTTCGTTGATGTAATCCATCTTTTCCACAATTCAAAAGGAATTTATATTAACTTATATAGATCAGACTTCTTTCAGTCAGAAGTTATAGTGAACCCTGTTCAAACTGGCTTAAATTTAAAATGTTAGTCCAGGTGCAAAGGCTCACACCTTTAGTCCCAGTACTCTGGGATGCCAAGGCACGATGATTGCTTGAGCCCAGGAGTTCAAGACCAGCTTGTACAATATAGTGAGACCTCGTCTCTACAAAAAATAAAAATTAAAAAAAAAATAGCTGGATGTGGTTGTGCACACCTGTGGTGCCAGCTACTTGGGAGGCTGAGGTGGGAGGATTGCTTGACCCTGGGAGGTTGAGGCTGCCTTGAGCCATGATCGTGCCACTGCACTCCAGCCCGGGGAACAGAACAAGGCCCTGTCTCAAAAAAAAAACAAAAAAACAAAACAAAACAAAAATTTGATGGCTTCAGCACAGCTACTTCCAGGAACTCTAAGAATGTTATAGACGTCTTTTTCTTATCTCTGAACTTTTCTCTGGTGGCTCTATTCCTAGGCAATCTTTCCCTTCATGGTAACAGGATGTTTGCATGTCTGTATCTTATTTCTCAACACCTTCCCGAGGAAAGAGGCCCTTTCTATTCAGTTACTGTAGAAGAGGCCCCAGAATGAGTATTATCTGGATCAACTTGGGTTATGTGCCTGTCAACCTTTTGCTGTGGTCAAAGGAGATTTGAATATGGAGATGATTGGCTTCAACCTGGCTCATAGTCCCATCCCAGGAGCTGAGTTGGGATAAACCCTACTCAGGCCACTTAGATAGAGAATGATGGGAGGTAGAGCTTCCCTAACAAAAGTCAAGGAAGTTAAATCAGAAGAAAGGGGCAGTGGGTCCTCGGTAGGTAAAAACAACAAATGACAACTGCACAACCGTTGTTTTAAGAAGTTAACAGCACACATTTTCAAGTAGCAGTTTTAAATTTGTGGGTTTTTAATTTATGTACGTGAAATACCTTTTTATAAGCAAAAATAATAATAGCATGCACCAGGTAGACATATGAAATACAAAATACTTCTGTGCTCCTTAACCTACACTTTTCTTACACTGATGAGCGTAGGTAGCTTTCCTGTTTGCTTTTTTTTTTTTTAATTTGTAAATGATTTTGTAGCTTAGAAGGAATTAAGCCAGAGAGATAAGAAATTATTTTCATATTATTAGAAGTTGTTACTGCTAATAAAAGCTAGGGTATCAAGAAAGGTACTCTGGTAATTTGCATGAGATCAATGTGGTGATTTTTGTTTTTGTATTTTAAAAATTTCTTTCTTTTTTTCTTTCTCTTTTTTTCTTTTTTTTTTTTTTTTTGAGACAGAGTCTCACTTTGTCGCCCAGGCTGGAGTGTAGTGGCGCAGTCTTGGCTCACTGCAGACTCCGCCTCCTGGGTTCAAGCAATTATCCTGCCTCAGCCTCCCGAGTAGCTGGGATTACAGGCACCCACCACTGCGCCTGGCTAGTTTTTTGTATTTTTAGTAGAGACCGGGTTTCATCATGTTGGCCATGGGTTGGCCAGGCTGGTCTTGAACTCCTGACCTCAGGTGATCCGCCTGCCTCGGCCTCCCAAAGTGCTGGGATTACGGGCATGAGCCACCAAGCGTGGCCTAAAAATTTCTCTAATGTTTCCATAATTAGTGTTAAGTAAGTGTTTTTGATAGAATGGTGAAACACCAGAGATAGAAGAAACTATAGAACAGTATCCAGTAAATGATGGTAGGTATCTGTACAGATATGGGAAAAATTGTGAAAATGTTAGCAAATATAGTTGTAAACTTACATCCAAGTCTATACAGATTATACAGAATTAGAGTTTGCTTTCTTATTTCATTTTCTAAAAGTGAACCCAGAATATAAATATATGTGCTGTTGAGGAGTATAGGCTTTTTAATGTTCATTCTGATAGTTTAATTTCCTTATTTTTATTTAATAGCCTATATTATTTTTCTGAATGAAAAGGTAAAAATACTTAACTTCATTTCTCTCTACAAGTGCAGGCCCTAACACGTTATTTTCCCAAAAACATGGAAGATTATTTTTAAAGATTGATTTGTCAATTATTTAATTCAGAGTTTAATGTAAAATTCTCACTATTGTTGAATACATTTAGGTCAAAGGCTTGCTACCAAGATTGAAGGAAAAAGTTGATCTTCTGGTGTTCAATCCCCCCTATGTAGTGACTCCACCTGAAGAGGTAAAACATACAACAAAATTTAATTATTAATATTTTCAATTATTTTGTTTGTAAATTCAAATGAATGTTACCCTATGAGATCAATCAGCTGCTGCTATCACAGACTACTCTGATTTTACTCCTAATTGTCAGTGATCGAGTCCTATTAATAGACCTAGGAAAGGAACCTTAAATGATGGAAATACAAACTGTGACACATATCTGTCACTAAAAATCACATTCGTATCAGGCCATGGTGTTTATATTCATATATTCAAATATACATGTACATATATATTACATATATCCTTTATCATGAATAAAAAATTTGCAAAACAAAATGTTTTAACCTGCCGGGCACAGTGGCCCACGCCTGTAATCCCAGCACTTTGGGAGGCCGAGGCAGCAGATTACTGGGGTCAAGGGTTCAAGACCAGCCTGGCCAACATGGTGAAACACTGTCTCTACTAAAAATACAAAAATTAGCTGGACCTGGTAGCACACACCTGTAATCCCAGCTATTTGGGAGACTGTCGCAGGAGAATTGCTTGAGCCTGGAAGACGGAGGTTGCAATGAGCCGAGATCGGCCAGTGTACTCCAGCCTGGCTGACAGAGTGAGACTCTGTCTCAAAAAAAAAAAAAAAAAAAAAAAAAAAAAATTTTTTTAACCAATCTTAAATTCACATAGGAATTCCTTCTGAAAGTTTCTGGTTTCCTCCTTTCACAAGTATTTCCAAAAAGTGAAAGAGTGAAACCAATTCTCATTTCAGATAGGGAAAACAAATAATCTTGAAGTATATTATTTTTTAAAATCTCGGTAATGAAGAGGTAAATCCGTTAACCTTTTCCCAGGAATGGTCAAAGTTTAATAATGGGCTAAGACTAGCTTTCCTTTAATTATTATGCTTTTTTATTCTTTGATAATTATTCTCTGGCTAGGCTGGTAAACATTACATTCACCTCAACGCCAAGATGGGAAGGATCCATTTGGCTGTTGCTACTAATGGCAGTTAAACAGCGAAAAAGCTATTGCTTTGCTGACATATGAACTCATATGACAGGGAAGTCAGAAGGTGAACAGCCGTTGAGGGAAATGCAGCTTCATAAAGCTCTTTAGGAAAGCACTATCCAACTAGTGGGAAGACTAATCAATGAAAAGGAGATTCTGGGAACATGGTGACCTGAATGGGTTTCCTTACTTCATGTTTCTAGCCCTAAGCCACATGCTTCTGAGCCTTACAGCTGCTGGGACGTATAGATGATTGAGTGCAGGCAATGCCTTGGGCTTTTTTGCTTTCCCAACGGAGAGAAAACCTGTCGTATTCTCATGAGCTGGGCAATTAGCTAGAAAGCAGGATAAAATACAACACAACGAAGATGTCTTGGAGCTTAAAAATACGTTTTACACAGTAAAACATCAGGCAGTGAATTAAAAGAGAATGTGGTCACTGTCAAGACCTGAATCAGTGGTCTGGAAACCCAATGAAAAAAAGATTTCAGTGCACAGAGCACAAAGATACAGAGAAGAATTCACAAAGGTAAAAGAGAAGAGACTCAGAGATTAGATCCAGGAAACCTAATATACAAATAATAGGAGTTTGTATTTATAATAAGCTGTGGGTATACTTACTGATATATTGAAACATGAAGTAGGATGTTGGTTTGTGCCAACAGCACAAATGGGGTGTATAACCTAGGAGAAAAGTAGAGAGAATGCCAGGAAAAGGAAGTCTCCAGGAGGAAAGTCTTAAAAACAGAGGAAATGATACATTTCCTAATATGATTAACTTTGTGGAAAATTGTGTTGAGAAGCTTATGATAGGTGTGGGAATGATTAGAGTCAAAAAAATTAAGCAAATGGACATAGTGAATGCCCATCAATAGCCAACTAAGATGTGATACTTTTCTTCCAGGAAATATTATATAGCCCTTAAAAGAATGAATTAGAAGTAGAGAGGGGGTTTCACCATGTTGGCCAGGCTGGTCTTGAACTCCTGACTTCAGGTAATCTGCCTGCCTTGGCCTCCCAAAATCCTGGGATTACAAGCATGAACCACCACACCTGGCCTCGATTCACTTTTAAATTTTATGTAGAGTCATAAAAACAGGGTTTTGAAACATTGAAGGTGATCTGGCCATGATCTTTAATCTTCAGAATCCTTGTTGATGTCATCAGCATTGACAAGATGGCAGAGAATTTCCGTTTGATCTGTGACACCAAGGGTCACTTTGCTGTACATCATATTACACCTGAGGAGGCCAAGTACAAGTTGTGCAAAGTGAGAAGAATCTTTGTGGGCACAAAAGGAATCCCTTATCTGGTGACTCATGATGCTTGCACCATCTGCTACCCTGATCCCCTCATCAGGGTGAATGACACTGTTCAGATTGATTTGGAGACTGCCAAGATTACTGATTTCAACAAATTTGACACTGGTCATCTGTGTATGGTGACTGGAGGTGCTAACCTGGGTAGAATTGGTGTGATCCCCAACCCTGGATCTTCTGATGTGGTTCACCTGAAAGATGCCAATGGCAACAGATTTGCCACTCGACTTTCCAACATTTTTCTTATTGGCAAGAACAACAAACTGTGGATTTCTCTTCCCTGAGGAAAGGGTATCCGCCTCACCATTGCGGAAGAGAGAGACAAGAGACTGGCGGCCAAACAGAGCAGTGGGAGAAATGGTCCCTGGGTGATACGTTAGGTTTTTGTATGTAATTAAAAATAATGTGGCATGTTTAATAGAAAAAAAAAAGAATTAGAACTATATCAAATGATATGAAGAGAATTTCATAAGGTATTGTTGAATGAGAAAAGCAAGATGTAAGTAAGCGTATAGAATATATCCGGTCATTGTAAAACATGGCAAAAAAGAAAAACCTGTGTGTGTAGAAGATAGGCAAAGGCAGACAAACAAAACAGTAAAATCAAAAAGTGTGGCTTTTTTTTCTTTTTCTTCAAGCTCTGTTCGACCCGCTTTTTAAAAGCAGGAATGTGAACATTTCTCTTCTTCATAAAGGTATATGTGCATAAGGTTATAGCTATAAAGCAATTATTTTTAATGAGGAAATATATGCTATATTAAATGAATGACTAGCAGACATTATTGTGTAAAAATAATTTAAACTAAAATATGGACAAAGGGCCTAAAAGGAAATAGGAAGAAACTAGTTGTGTTAGGGTTAAAGTAACTTCTGAGGGACATCTTCAAAACATTCTTTAATCTTAAAAATAATGTACAACAGAGCAGTCTTTGTGGCTCATGCCTATAACTCCAGCACTTTGGGAGGCTGACCTGGGAGGATCCCGGGAGGCCAGAAGTTCTTGACCAGCCTGGGCAACATAGTGACAGCCCCCTTTTCTACAAAAAATTTAGAAAATTGGCCGGGCGCAGTGGCTCACACCTATAATCCCAGCACTTTGGGAGGCCGAGGCGGGGGGATCACGAGGTCAGGAGATCGAGACCATTCTGGCTAATACAGTGAAACCCCGTTTCTACTAAAAATACAAAAAATTAGCCAGATGTGGTGGTGGGCACCTGTCGTTCTAGCTGCTCGGGAGGCTGAGGCAGGAAAATGGCCTAAACACGGGAGGCAGAGCTTGCAGTGAGCTGAGATTGAGCCACTGCACTCCAGCCTGGGCGATAGTGCGAGACTCCGGCTCAAAAAAAAAAAAAAAAAAAATTAACGAGGCATGGTTGTTTGCGCCTGTAGTCCTAGATACTTGGGAAGCTGAAGTGGGAGGATCACTTGAGCACAGGAGGTGGAAGCTGCAGTGAGCCATGATTACATGACTGCACTCCAGTCTAGGTGACAGAGGGAGACCCCGTCTCAAAAAAAAAAAGTGAAAAAAGGAAACAATATACAATGATAAGGATCTAAAGATTTTTTAATACTATATAAGCTCTCAGGTGTATTGTTTCTAAAATATAGATTGTTAGAGGAAACATGCTTCAGTATGCCTTTATATAATATATAATAAATGGGTTCCTTAGAAAAGGTCTATGTGTTTCACACTTTAATCTACAAGAGGGCCAGATGCATTGGGACATTTTGAAACTTTGTTTCTGTACAGTAGGTATCTTACAATACAAGCTCCTCCTCCTAGCTTCTTTCTGTATTAAGTATAAAAGCTACCCACGTCTCTCAATTTAAGCATTGTACTAATAGTAATAACTATTATTAAGCCCTTGATATATGTTCTCATATATCAAGAGCAATGTTCTCAAAACTTTAAATATACTTCCTCATTCCTAACAGTGGATAAAAATATTTTTTTATTATTACAAAAACATTTTTTATCCAGTTATTATTTTTCTAATTGTACATATGGAACTATTCTTTTCCTAATTTTACAGATAAAGGAGGAAAGTAATTCACAAACAGGATTACTAATTTACCCAAGGTTACACACTAGAAAATGATGAAACTTAGATTCAACTTTACTGCTCCTTCGTCAGCAGTAAAAAATGCAAAATATATACTTGTTTGGTGATAATACTTCTCAAAAAGATTCGGTTTGTGATCTAAATCAAACGAGTTAAAAGAAAACATTCGGCCGGGCGCGGTGGCTTACGCCTGTAATCCCAGCGCTCTGGGAGGCCGAGGCGGGCGGATCACAAGGTCAGGAGATCGAGACCATCCTGGCTAACACGGTGAAACCCCGTCTCTACTAAAAATACAAAAAAGCCGGGCGCGGTGGCGGGCGCCTGTAGTCCCAGCTACTCGGGAGGCTGAGGCAGGAGAATGGCGTGAACCCGGGAGGCGGAGCTTGCGGTGAGCCGAGATCGCGCCACTGCACTCCAGCCTGGGCGACACAGCGAGACTCCGTCTCAAAAAATAAATTGAAAAAAAAAAAAAAAAGAAAACATTCTTTCTAATTGTTCACAGGTAGGAAGTCACGGAATAGAGGCAGCTTGGGCTGGTGGCAGAAATGGTCGGGAAGTCATGGACAGGTTTTTCCCCCTGGTTCCAGATCTCCTTTCACCAAGAGGATTATTCTATTTAGTTACCATTAAAGAAAACAACCCAGGTAATACAGACCAATTTATTGTTTAAGCATTTATGTTGCTGAAATCAAAAGTTAATAATGTAAAATGCTATAATTTATAAGATAACCTGGCATGTTAATGAATCACTTAAAACAATCACTGACAATAGCTAATAAAGGCATAAATTCATGTTGAAAGAGAAAAGAGGTTTTCAGGGGTAAATTTTTCTTATTTTAAAAAGTGTTATCTTCTCTTTTCCCCATTTATAACCTAATATTCAAGTACAAAGATCGCTAATGTTTTCTTCTAACACCTCAGCCTCAGTGTTATGAATTTTCTCTCTACTCTCTAGTCTTCATGCCCTTGACAATTGTGCTGTACTCTTTAGTTCGTCTGGAGTTCTATCATGAAAGTTATTTTATTGTATAGATTTTTATCTTTGTTTTCAGATTGCTTTATAACTAAATTGAACATAATCTTTCTTCTCTTTTTCTGTACACTTCAAGTTTGATTTTTAGCTTATACTAAAAATCCTCAGCCCTTCAAATCACATGATTGCTAGTTTTCTCTTGCCTTGCTTTCCTTTCCTTTCTTTTCCTTTCCTTTCCTTTCCTTCTTTCTTTTTCTCTCTCTCTCTTTTCTCTTCTCTTCTTTTTTTCCTTCCTTCCATCCGTCTTTCTTTCTTCTCCCTCCCTCCCTCCCTCCCTCCCTTCCTTCCTTCCTTCCTTCCTTCCTTCCTTCCTTCCTTCCTTCCTTCCTTCCTTCCTTCCTTCTCTCTCTCTCTCCCTTTCTTTCTCCTTCCCTCCCTTCCTCCCTCCTTCCTTCCTCCCTTCCTTCCCTTCTCTTCCCTTCCCTTATTTTCTTTTCTTTCTTTCTCTTCTCCTTTCCCTTCCTTCCATCCATCGGTCCTTCCTTCTTTCTCTCTCTCTCTTTCTTTCTTTCTTCTTCCTTCCCTTCTTTTCTTCTTTCTCTTTTTCTCTTTTCTCTTCTTTTTTCCTTCTGTCCGTCTTTCTTTTCTTCTCTTCTTTCTTTCTTTTTTCTTTCTTTTCTTTCTCTCTCTTTTCTCTTCTCTTATTTTTTCCTCCCTTTGTCCGTCTTTCTCTTTCTTTCCTTCCTTCCTTCCTTCCTTCTTCCTTCCTTCCTTCCTTTCCTTCTCTTCTCTTCTTTCTCTTTCTTTCTTTTTTTCTTTCTTTCTTTCTTTTCTCTCTCTCTCTTCTCTCCTTTTTTTCCTTCCTTCCGTCCATCCTTCCTTCTTTCTCTCTTTTCCTTACCTTTCCTTTTCTTTTTTTCTTTCTTCTCCATTTTCTTAGTTTAGTCTTCTGAGTTTTATTTATTTATAAGGAAGGTTTTCTTTTCTCAATATGCCTGAAAGAAATAAGCTACTTCTTCCACTCTCACTGTGCAATGTCACTATTCAGTTTGTCCCACACCATCATTGGCTCTTGTCATCCAAAGAGAAAGACATAGGGCAGAGATTGGAGCCAAGCAACTTAAAAACTGATCACTTGCTATAATAACAAGGACAATTAATGTTTCTGCTGAGCCTAAAGTAGGCTGTGACTGCAAAGCAAGCCATTCATTCTGATTAGAATCACCAGCAACACTTTGAAAATACGAAGTGCTCCTATTTAGCTGAAGACGAAGTTCACTTTAATAGACATTTATTTGATATACATTGTTTTGTATATCAAATAAATTGATGAATACAATTTATAAATCATCTGTGTTTAACTTATTACATTGCTTATTGATCATGCACACTACCAAATGGCTTAATGGATTTTACCTTTTGATTTTTATTTTAGAAGAAATTTTGAAAATAATGAAGACAAAAGGTCTGCAAGGAACCACTGCACTTTCCAGACAAGCAGGCCAAGAAACTCTTTCAGTCCTCAAGTTCACCAAGTCCTAGCATACAGTGTGTGCCCAGAGCTACTGGAAACTGAATGCATTTAGCATATCTTGAAACTGAAGTCATTCATTAGGTAACAAGGAATTTTATCAGAAATTTGTCATTAAAAAAAGGCAGGAAGGTGGAACATTCCCTTCCAGTCAGGCCTATATAATTATTTGCAAAAGTACAGGTAAATATGTGTATTATATTTATAATTTGCATTTTAAATATAAAAGTTATGTATGAAATATTTATTTCACCATTATTTGGTAAGGCAATGGAATTTATCTGGCAAATGTCTTTTTTTTCATACTAGTCCATAAAGGCAGTTTACTTTCAGATGGCAGGGCCAGTGACACACCTTCATTGTTGTATCTCTGGTGTATATCAGTTCTCCAACTCTATGTCATAATTCAGTTCATGGGGCTCTTGATTACCTTTCCCTTCCACAAAATATTACACTAATTCATTATATTGATGACATTATGCTGATTTGACCTAGTGAGCAAGAAGTAGAAACTACACTAGACTTAGTGGAAAGACATTTGCATCAGAGGGTAAGAAATAAATATGACTGCATTTCAGGGATCCTCTACCTTAGTGAAATTGGTAGGGATACAGTGACATGGGGCATGTTGGGATATTTCTTCTAAGGTGAAGGATAAGTACTTGCATCTTGCTGCTCTTACAACCCAGAAAGAGGCACAATACTTAGTGGGCCTCTTTGGGTTTTGGAGGCAACATTTTCCAATTTCATTAAGTTACTTCAGCCCATTTACCAATTGACTCAAAAAGCTGCTAGTTTTGAGTAGGGCCCAGAACAAGAAAAGTCTCTGTAACGGGTCCAGGCTGCTGTTAAAGCTGCTCCGCCACTTGGGTCTTATGATCCAGCAGATCCAGTGGTGTTTAAGTGGCAGTGGCAGATAGGGATGCTGTTTGAAGCTTCTGGCAGGTCCCTGTAGGTGAATCTTGGTTTAGGATTTTAGAGCAAAGTCCTGCCATCACCAACAAATAGCTAGTCTCTTTCTGAGAAACAGCTCTTGGCCTGCTACTGGGCCTTAGTAGAGACGGATACTTCTTGAGCCACCAAGTTACCATGCAACCTGAGCTGCCTGTCATGAACTGGATGTTATCTGAGCCACCAACGCACAAAGTTGGATATGCCCAGCAACACTCCGTCATCAGATGGAAATGGTATACACGTGATTGGGCCTGAGCAGGCCCTGAAGGCACAAGGAAGTTACATGAAGAAGTAGGCCAAATTTCCATAGTCCCCGCTTCTGCTACCTGCCTTCTCTCTTCCAGCCTGCATCTGTGGCTTCATGGGGACTTCCCTACGACCAGCTGACAGAGAAAGAGAAGACTTAGGCCTGGTTTACAGAGGCTTCTATATGATATGCAGGTACCACCCAAAAGTGGACAGCTGCAGCACTCAGCTCACCTCTGGGCTACCTTGAAGGACAGTGGTGAAGGGAAATCCTCCCAGTGGAAAGAACTTTGAGCAGTCCCCCTTGTTGACTTTGCTTAGAAGGAAAAATGGCCAGATATTCAATTATATGCTAATTCGTAGGCTATGGCCAGTGGTTTGGCAGGATGATCAGGGAGTTCAACATAACTGGAAAATTGGTGACAAAGAAATTTGGAGATGAAGTATATGGATAGACACTGAATGGGCAAAAAGGGCGAAGATATTTGTGCCCCATGTGAATGCTCACCAAAGGGTTAGAAAGAAGGATTTTAATAAAGTAGACAAGATAACCTGTTCTATGGATACTAGTAGGCCTCTTTCTCCAGCCACCCCTGTCATCACCCAATTGTTTCATGAACAAAGTAGCCATGGTAACAAGAATAGAGATTATGCATGGGCTCAGCAACGTGGACTTCTACTCACCAAGGCTGACCTGGCCAAGGCTATCTCTGAGTGCCCAGTCTGCCAGCAGCAGAGACCAACACTGAGCCCCTGATATGACACCATTTCCCAGAGTCAGCAGTCAGCTGCCTAGTGGCAGGTTAATTACATTGATCCACCTCCATCGTTGAAGGGATAGTGTTTTGTCCATACTGAAATAGATCTTACTCTGGATACAGATTTGCTTTCCCTTCGCGCAGTCCTTCTACTAAAACTGCCATCCATGGACTTACAGAATCTCTCATCTATGACCATGGTATTCCACACAGCATTACAAGGAACTCAGTTCACAGCAAAAGTGTGGCAGTGGGCCCATGCTCATGGAATTTTCTTACAATGTTCCCTACTATCCTGAATCAACTGGCTACATAGAGCAGTGGAATGGTATTTTGAAGACAGTAATAGCACCAGCTATACAGCAGTGCCTTGTAGGGCTGGGACAAGGTTCTGTGGAAGGCTGTCTACTCTCTGAGTCAGCATCCAGTATATGGTGCATTTCTCTTATGACTGGGATTCACAGGTCCAGGAATCAAGGGGTCAAAATAGGAGGGACACTGTTCGCTATTAGCCCTAGTGACCCACTAGCAAAATTTTTGCTTCCTGTTGTCATGACTTACGCTCTGCTGGCCTAGAGGTCTTCCACAGGGTGGCATGTTTTCCATTGAGAGGTACAATCATGATTTAATTGAACTGGAAGTTGAAGACTGCTCCTCCGCCACTTCGGGCTTCTCATGCCTCTAATTCAATAGACAAATGAGTTACAGTGCTGGCTGGGTGATTGTTCCCGACTACCAAGTAGAAACTGGACTACCTCCAAATGGTGGTAAGGAAAAGTATGTTGGGAATATGTGAGATTCCTTAGGGCTTCTCTTAGTGTTACCATGCCCTGTGATTAAGGTCAGTGGAAAACTACAACTTAATTCAGACAGGACCACTAATGACCCAGACCTTTCAGGAATAAAGGTTTGGGTCACCACCAGGTAAGTACCATGACCAGATGAAGTGCTTGCTGAAGGCAAAGGGAATGCAGAATAAGTGGTGGAAGAAATACTGACTTTGATCATATGACCAGTTACAGAAACACAGACTGCAATTGTCATAAGTATGTCCTCCATATTTTGCTATGACTCCATTTTGTGTGTGTGTAGCTTGCTTTCTTCTCATTTCCTTATTCTGTGACATAAGATGCATTGATTTTATTATAGTGATGTATTATAGATTTATTATAGATGCATTGTTTAAATATAGTGTTTAAATATTGTTAATTTTTTAAACTGGCTCCATTGTTCAACCTTGATTAATTTTACATCATGGTATTTAAGTTATGGGATATCAAGGAGAGAGTAAACATCACATGAAGACTTTACCTCCTCTTCTGGGAAATGGGTTAGTGTGTTTCTGGTAGAATGCTCAATTGTTAATCGTGTTAGATGGAATTATGACCTTGCTGTTGTGTTTATGTGGCAGTTAAGTATGGTTTAAGGAGATGCGTATGGGTGCCAAGTTGACAAGGGTAAACTTGCGATGGTTAATTTTATATGTCAACTTGAATAGGCCACAGGGTCCCAGGTATCTGTTTAAACATTATTCTGGAGTGTCTTGAGCGTGTTTACAGAGGAGATTCACATTTGAATTGGGGGATTCAGTAAAGGAGATGGCCATCCCCAAGGTGGGTGGACATCATCCAATTTGTTGAGGATGTAAATAAAAGGCTGAGGAAGGAAGAATTCACCCCCCCTTTTTTTTCCTGCCTCATTGTTTGAGCTGTGACATCTCATCTTCTCCTGTCCTCAGATGGATTTACATCACTGACTCCCCTGGTTCTCACGCCTTTGGACTCAGACTGAATTATACCACAGGCCTTCCTGGGTCTCCAGCTTTATAGATGACAGATCATGGGACCTCTTAGCCTCCATAATCATGTAAGCCATTTTCTTGTAGTATTGATAAAAGATATATTAGACCAATCTATAAAACAGATAGCTATGAAAGAAAAGGGAGACGGGCACATGCCTAGGCAAATAGGGAAGGGTCCCTGAAGAACCTCTGACTTGCCCAGGTCATTGTGCACAGATGGCTTGCCTGAACATGCCCACTGTGAAAAATTCCATTTCTCAACACATGTGCAGTAAGGGAAATAAATCAATGTAGCTTAGACCAAGCGCCCGTACATGGGGTGGAGCCACGCGGAGTTTGCGCCTTATGCAGGGGAGAAGCCATGCGCCTTCAGCTCGTGTGTGGTGGCCTGGCATTCAATTTGTGAGGCGGAAAACCTGCATGAAGGACCCCTCCTTTTGTGGAGAGCTTTGCTTTCGCTTAATAAATTCTGCCCTCCTTGCCTTTCAGTGTATACGTGTGCCTTATTTTTTCTGGTTGTGTGATAACCCAAATTTAACTGAATTAAGGAACAGAAAATCCTGCATCAGCTACATTAATAGCTGTTTGTACTGGATTGAGTAGTGTCCCCCCCACCCCACAAAATTCGTGTTCAACTGAAACCTGTGAATATGATCCTATTTGGAATTAGGAACTTTGCAGATGTAATCAAGTTAAGACAAGGTCATACTGGGTTAGGGTGGATGCTAAATCCAATATCCCTTGTGTCCTTGTAAGAACAGGAAAATCTGAGCACAGAGACGTAGGGAGGATGCCATGTGAAGACAGAGGCAGAGGTTGGAGTGATGAGTCAACAAGTAAAGGAATGCAGGGGTTGCTAGCAACTACCAGAGGCTAGAAGAGGCAGGAAGGACTCTTCTTTCAAGCCTTCAGAGGGAGCATGGTCCAGCCCACACCTTTATTTTAGACATCTAGCCTCAAGAACTGTGAGAGAATGCATTTGTTTTAAGCTACCCAGTTGGTGGCACTGTTACAGTAACTCTCAGAAATTAATATGCTGAGTGCAAAATTAAAAGCATGATTAGGAATAGACGTGGACACTGATATGGTTTGGATTTGTGTCCCCACTCAAATCTCATGTTGAATTTTAATCCCTAATATTGGAAGAGGGGCCTGGTGAGAGGTGATTGGATCATGGGGGCAGACTTCCTCCTTGCTGTTCTCATGATAGTGAGTTCCTAACGAGATCTGGTTGTTTAAACGTGTGTAGCGCTTCCTCTTCGCTCTCTTCCTCCTGCTCCAACCATGTGGACATGCCTCCTTCCTCTTTGCCTTGCGCCATGATTTCAAGCTTCCTCAGGCCTCCCCAGCCATGCTTCCTGTACAGCCTGTGAAACCGTGAGCCAATTAAGCTTCTTTTCTTTACCCAGTCTCAGGTAATTCTTTATAGCAATGCGAGAACAGACTAATACAGACACTAAAGAATGATAAAGGGCGCAGGGCGCGGTGGCTCATGCCTGTAATCCCAGCACTTTGGGAGGCCGAGGCGGGCGGATCACGAGGTCAGGAGATCGAGACCATCCTGGCGAACACGGTGAAACCCCGTCTCTACTAAAAATACAAAAAAATTAGCCAGGCGTGGTGGCGGGCACCGGTAGTCCCAGCTTCTAGAGAGACTGAGGCAGGGGAATGGCGTGAACCCGGGAGGTGGCGGAGCTTGCAGTGAGCGGAGATCGCACCACTGCACTCCAGCCTGGGCGACAGAGCGAAACTATGTCTCAAAAAAAAAAAAAAAAAAAAGAATGATAAAGGGTTTACACTTTCTGAGACGGACTCTTGCTCTTGTTGCCCAGGCCGGAGTGCAATGCCATGATCTCAGCTCACTGCCATCTCTGCCTCTCAAGCTCAAGCAGTTCTCCTGCCTCAACCTCCGGAGTAGATGGGATTACAGGCGCGTGCCACCACATCAAGGAGACCAAAAAGGCAAAGAGATTTGAAAAATAGCAGTGAGTTTGATATAACAGACTAATATAGAACTCTGAAACTAACAGTCAGGGAATGCATATTCTTTCTCAAGCACTCATGGGATGTTTACCAACATGATTACATACTAGACCAAAAGTAAGTCCCTATAAAATTGAAAGAATCAATATGATATAGCTAATCTTCTCTGACTATAAAGTGTTTAGGTTATAAATTGATAACAAAAATAAAATGTAAAAGTCCCCATACATTTACAAAATTTAAAACATGCTTCTAAACAATTCATATGTCAAGGAAGAAATAATGACATTTTAGGCTGGGTGTGATGGCTCACTCCTGTAATCCCACCACTTTTGGAGGCCGAGGCAGGCAGATCACCTGATGTCAGGAGTTTGGGACCAGCCTGGCCAACATGATGAAACCCCATCTCTACTAAAAATAAAAAAATTAGCTGGGCATGGTGGCATGTGCCTGTAATCCCATGTGCTCGGGAGGTTGAGGCAGGAGAATAGCTTGAGCTTGAGAGGCAGAGATGGCAGTGAGCTGAGATCATGCCATTGCACTCCAGCCTGGGCAACAAGAGCAAGACTCCGTTTCAAAAAAAAAAAAAAAAGGAAATGACATTTTGAAAATTACTGAACAGAGAGTGAACGCTAATAAAAACTGTGAACTTTAGTTAGTAATAATATATCAATATTGGTTCATCAATTGTAACAGATGCACCACACTAATGCAAGATGCACCACACTAATGCAAGATGCAAATAACTGGGGGGAACTGTGCTTGTGTTTGTGCAGTCAGGGAGAGGTTTGTGCAAACTGTACTTTTTTTTTTTAAACCTGTGTCTACAACAAAACTCTCTGTACCTCCTTATCAGTTTTCCTGTAAAGCTAAAACTGTTCTAAAAAACATTTAAAAGGTCTTTTAGTGTAAGAGAAAACCAAAACAAAGCAAACAAACAAAAAGGCAACATAATGATAAACAAAAAATTCAGGTTAGCGCTAACCAGTGGGATGAGAGGAGGTAAGGATGACTGGGAGAAAGGCTAGAGGAGAACCAGGCACCCAGGTAAACACCATAAAGGGACTGGCAGTGTTCCAGTTCTGAAGTTGGATAGAGGGTTTCTTGGGTATACATTTTATTATTTTAAATTCATGTGAACTGGGCCATGATCTTACAGTCTGTGTTATTCTCATGTGCAGAGGTTCAACTGGTGTACCAAGTTCTTTATTAGTGACACACTAAAAATTTATTGCTTATGCATTTTATAATCTAATGTGCTTTGTCCAGGGCATAGAAAGTGTTCTATTCCATTTAGTCATTCAGAGACTCAGGATCCCTCTGTTTTGTGCCACCATCACATTCAGCTTGTAACCTCTGTCAGCATGGATACGGAAAAAAGAGGAAGATCGTGCATGAGAGATTTTTGAGCCAGTCCTGGAAGTAGCATAAGTGACTTCGAATTCCAGTGGCCAGGACTCATTCAGATGATTCCAGTATAGTTGAACTGTATGCCCAAGAAGAAGTGATTCTTGTAATTCTTCCCCCTAAATAATTGTGTTAGACAAAACCTTGATAACAAAACCAGATAAGGGTTATATAAGAAAGGAAACTGACAGGCCAATCACATTCACATAGAGGAAAAAAAGAATAAAACTTCAACAAGCTAAATCTAGCAGTATATATAAAACAGATGATATACTATGACCAAGTTGAGTTTATCCCAGGAATGTAACCATGGTTTAATAGAAAAATCTATAAATTCCATTTATCATTCTAATAGGTTAAAGGGAAGAAAAATAGCACATTATCACCTCAACAGATGTGGACACACATTTGTTGAAATTGAATACACTTGGCAAACTAGGAAGAGAAGGAACTTTCTTAACCCAGTATGGTCTGTATACAAAAAACTCTGGCAAATATTCTGCAAGTAGAAATACTGAAAGCATTTCCTATAAAAATCAGAAACGAGAAAATTGCCACCTATTACCACTCCTATTCAACATTTTCACTGGAAGTCCTAGCCAGCAAAATAAGAAAAGAAAAAAAAATGAAAGGGAAAAGGATAAGAAAGTATGCACAAAATTGTCGTCATTAACAGATGATATTATTTACCAGGAAAACATTTAAAAAAGCACTGAGTTATGATAAGAGGGCTTAGGAAAGTGTTGTCTGTAATAATAATATTCAGAAATCATTTATATTTCTATATAATATATATTTCCCCAAAGCAGGAAAACATTTTAATAATACCACTAAAAATGATAAATAAGGCATCATGGAGTAAATATAACGAGTACAGGACTAACATGCAATTTGATTAAAATACTTTTTTTTTTTTTTTTTTTTGAGACAAGGTCTTGTTCTGTCACCCAGGCTGGAGTGGTGCAGTGGCGTGAACTTGGCTCACTGCAACCTCCACCCCACGAGCTTAGGCCATCCTCCCACCTCAGCCTCTTGAGTTGCTGGGACCACAGGTGTGCACCACCACAATCAGCTAATTTTTCATATTTTTAGTAGAGATGGGGGTCTCACCATGTTGCTCAGGCTGGTCTTGAATGCCAGAGCTCAAGCAATCCTCCCACCTCGGCCTCCCAAAGTGCTGAGATTACAGGCATGAACCACCACGCACAGCCTAAAAGACATTTTAAATACCTAAGTAAATGGAAAATTATTTCATGTTTGACTAGGAAGACTCACTATTATAAAGATACCAATTGTTCCTATATTTACAGTAAAATTCCAGTCAAAAACCCAAAAGTGTTTTTCATAAAACCTGAACAAATGACCAAGAACAGCCTAGACACTCCTAGATAATAGGAGGAGCATGAGAGAGCTTGAACTACTCAGATGCCAAATGCTTGTTATTAAACAATAGTAATTAAGACAGTTTTATATTGACCCAAAGATAAATAAACTGAAACAGAATGGAAAGTCCATAAAGAAACATGTACATATATAGAAATGTGTACATGATGAAATGGAACTGCAGAACAAATGGCATAGTACTGTATAAGTGATTATACACAAAAGGAAACAGTGAAATTAGATTCTTACCTCACACCATATACAGAAGTCCACTAAAATGGATTAAGTTGTAAATAAAAAGGTTGAATTTTAAATTTGGAAAAAATATAGGAGAATATTTTTATGACAATAGAATGGGAAAGTGTATCTATAAAATAGAAAAGAATCACAGACCCTAAAAGACTGATAAATTCAGTTACAGTAAAGAGTTTCGTTCATCAAAAGGCATTATAAAGAAAATTGAGGCTGGGCGTGTTGTAATCCCTGTACTGAGGGAGGCCAAGGAGGTCAGATCCATCTGGGCCCATCCATGTTGCCCCCATAAGACTTGAGGCAAGGGGAAACTGAGAAAATATACTGTTGCTTATGCTAATTGTTGTATTAATACTGTGAGTAATAAAGTTCCTTGTCTCTGACCCAAAAGCCTTATTTTTTTACTGCCAACAGTGAAACTGTGGCAGACTAATTTGTTAGGTTGCAAGTGGAGTAAAATCTCAGATC